ACGAAACCCTTCTGAGCCGCTGTATCTGTCTGATCCAGGAGAACCGGGAAGCCAGTCGCCGGTTCTACCATCATTCGGAGAAGGTAGAATAAACGGTGGCGGGAGGGATGGGATGTAGGCAGCCGCCGCTTCTACCACCATTCGTAGAAGGTAGATTTGACGGTAGTGGAAGGGTAGGCTGGTAGATGATAAACCAGCAGTGGGAATCTACCATGTCAAGCTTCACTGAAGCCAGAGAACATATTGTGTAACCCGACGTCTAGACATATTGCCTTCTGTACCAATAATCTGACCTTAACCCTCATTTCCCCGGCAGGTTCTCACACTGGAGGACGCGGTGCGTCTGATGATCGCCATTCGCCAGGCGCTGACACTCCACGCGCGTAAACTGCAGGCGCGGCAGGCGTCGGCCGGAGAGGCGAGCCGACAGCGGCACATGGCGGCGGCAGCGGGGAGTGATAAGGAGAACAGTATGGCCGGAGGTAGGTGGAGCGAGAGGGAGGGGTCAGGACGCGTTAGAGGCGCGTGGTGATATGCGGGAACTAAACGGGAGGGACGCAGGAGCTGGGTGAGAAATGGGTGGATTAACCTGGAGTGAAATAGCCAGGAAAGAAGGGTGATTATGGTCTTGCCTAGGGGTGATATTGAATTATAGTGTGCTGAGGGCAGTCTGGTTGGGAGACGTGGGACTTTCTTATAGGGTGGAAACTGGCGGACATCTGATATGTTGGAGGAAGTGGCTATCCCGATGTGGTGTCCTTTGATAGGACGATAAGAACGCCATGTTCTGATGGTGCGAGGGACAAGAGATTGATGAACACATCTCCAACCACTGCCTGACGCCGCGTTGTCGTGTTCTCAGGCTCCCGGCCGGGCAAGAGACGGTTACACAACGTCGACGATCGCTCCGTCCTCTCCGACGCAAGTGAGTCGCAAAACAGTTGAGTACAGTTTCGAGTTATGACAGTGATTTCTTACCCGGGCTCCCGTGCTATGCTTTCGTGTTGTACAAGGCTCAACAGATATTTGGGGCTAGTTGGGTTTGTGTGTTTCTGTTGTTCAGAATTATAGGGGTGTGCTAAGTGCCAATGACTATTTGACCTTATGACGAAGAAATATCCTGAGATGTACCAATTTTTCTAATCCTCACCGTGATTGTAGAACGTCTCTTATTTCCTCCCCCCCCCCCGTTCTATCCGCTCAACAGGCCAGGAGAGCGCCAGTTCCTCTGACGACTCTGCGCTGGAGCCGGCCGCTCCACCCCCTCCCAGCTCCCCCCTGGACAAGGAGGAGGTCGTGGTAGGGCTGGTCGACGTCACCGCCGTCCTCTGGACCTGCCGTCTCACTGAGCTGGCGCAGCGACCTGACCTGCTGGAGACCCTGCAGCAGGCCTGGGGACGCGTCCTGCCGCTGCTATTCAACCAACATCGCGACGCGCCGGCGGCAGGGTCACTGCTGTATGTAGCTTCGCTGCTGCCGCATGCTGTGATGACTCCCCTGGCAAGTCACTGTCTGTCGGCGCTCAAAGAACTGCCCGAAGATGCCACCGCAGAGAGGTGCGCCATGCTGCTTGATCCGCTCATCAACTGGGGACGTTGTGATGATGTGATAGAGCTCTGTGCTGAGAGGCTTCAGGCGGCGTTCGATGGGGAAAGAAGCTTCGTGGCGTCTCAGAAGAACCAGCGCCGCTCGGCCGGCGGTGTGAGGTTCCGAGACCCGCGGCGCGGTCAGCCCCGACCCCGGCTGGCACTGCGGTGGCTGATGCATCTGTTCTCTCCCAGTCTGCGCCGACACGTGCTGGCGACTAAGTACGGTGCACCGCTGCGCGAGCTCCTGACGTGGATGTCTTCCGCCGTGCCGCCGGCCGCGGAGGAACGTCTGAGCTCCGAGCGGCCCTACGCTGATCGGGATGAGCTGGTCGTTGAGCTGGTGCGAGCGATGATAGTGGTCAGCCTCGCCCTAGCTGCAGGAGGGGGACCGGACGCAGCCGACCCCTCGAACGCTCTCCGAGAACTTCTCATCTGGGGCCGCGGCGTGGCGAAGGCCCCCGCGCGCTGGGCGAACGCTGGCCTGCTCCGCAGCGTCAGTGAGGCACTCTCAGAAGCCGCGGTGAATGTATCCCTAACCGGCTGTGTGGCGCCGGAGCTGTGTGAGGCAGGCCTTCAGTGGCTACTGCTACATCTGTCCGCCTCAGATGCCTCTCCTGAGCGCTGCCTGACAGTGCTCTTCCATTCCGCTGATCTCCTGGAGGCAGTGGCCTGTCGATCAGAGAAGTCCGACGAGCTGCGCACCCTCTGCCGAGAGGAGATCCCTCCGCTGACCGGCGCGGCAATCGGTCAGCTGCTGCGACTGTCCTCTGCAGAGCGGCCCCCTCAGCCGGCTCAGCTGACGGAGCTCAGCAGTCACCTGAAGGGCGTGCTGGCGGGATGGAGACTGCTGGGCGCGGATGGAGAGGGCCCTCAGCGCGACCTGGCTGCCGTGCTGATGGTGGCTGCGCAGAGGAGAATCGCCAGCGATAAACTGCAGGTGGGTGGGGAAAGGTAGCTGCTCTGGCGGTACCGTGGAGTCGGCTTCACTTTGATATAATGGTCTTTTGTTGCCTTAGGTCAACCAGTAACCGCAAGCATGCGACGTTTTGCATGATTTAATTAATTCAGTGGCCATTAATAAGCATTTTATGCCCAATGCTCGCTGCAATACGGTCTTGTACCCATACACCCCACTCTCCTTGAAATCTTTTCGCCTAGCTGCTTTATTAGCTTCACTCAATTACATACCTACAATGGCACAAAACCACCACACTTCCCAGCTCCCACTGACTGACCCCCCACCCCGTCTCCCTCTGTAGGGCAGCACCTCCGCCCCGACCCCCGAGCTCTCCCCCCTGGTATCGGCCCTGCTCAGTCCCCTGTGGAGGGACGCGGCCGGCGCCCAGCTGCTGGCCGGAGCGGTGGAGGAGTTTGTCAACGCCGGACGGGAGAAGACGGAGAGAGGAGAGGAGGAGATGGCAGAGGAGGGGAGCACTGCTGAGGAGGATGTGGAGCAGGTAAGGAGAGAGGGCGTGGGTGTTGGCTGGAAGGGGGTGAAGGTGGGAAAAGAAGTGTTGATTGCTGGTTCCAGGTTATGTCTGCCAGCTCTTCTTCAAGATACACCCATGTCGGATGAAGGTGATCGTCCAGACCGGATCAGGGTGATTGAACCGTGGAGAAGAAGGATTGAACCGTCCTGATGACGGAAAAGAGGGAAAGTGGATTAGCATGAGGTCAGTAATTCGTACGATTCGTTAATTCTTACTTCTTATCCCTCAAGACAGTCAGTCTGTGTCAGTGAGTGCTTTACTGTATCCGTAACCCCCTCCCTCCTCCCCAGGAGCTGTCGAAAGTGGTCACTGCCGGTTACGTACTGCACGCCCTCACTGCCGCCACCCCGTCCGCGGTACCGCACTGCCGCGCCGCCGCCAGCGCCGCCCTGGCGGCCGCGCAGAGAATCTCCGAGACCCAGCTGACTGGCGATGACGCGGCGCCGCAGCATCTCAGCGCCGCCAAGCGGCTGCTGGAGGAACTAAACGCGCGGGCCTGAGAGGGAGAGGGTGGCCCAGCCATAGCGAGGGTGAGGGAGGGAATAGGTAATAGCGAGTTCTGGATCGGTGGTTGAATGATTCGGTGTGAATGTGCGACTAAGTTTAAATGAAACGCTCCATCTCTTCCTAAACTGAACTAAAGGCAGGTGAATGCTAAATTTATCATTTCAGTTGCGATGTTGCGAAATCTTTTTCAGAAAAAGTAACGCCTTTTCGTAAATTGAACATTTTCTTTGACGCGTGCCGACTATAATTGGTTTTTGAACGGAGAACATCAATATTTTTTCCTGGTAGAATAACGAAGTGCGAAGCGGTGTATGGTGTGCATTGTCATGAGTTAGGATTGTTTAGTGAAAGAGTGAGTGAGAAAAATGGTGCGATGTTACACGGGTGGACCCATTAACGTGGCACCGGAAAGCACCCATCCCGTGCGAATGAAAGGTGGATATGTTGGGCATAATAGCCATAAGAGTCGGATTCGTTGCGTTAGGTTACATTTTCAGCGCTGCCAAGCCATACATTAGGTTAGGATAAATCATCGACATCAGCAGTCATCATCTTCATCAGTGAGATTCACGGCCGTCACCGTCATCAACATCATAACCAGATAATCGCTGTGATGGACGTCACCAGGCTGATGATAGCGAGATCAGTCTCATCATCATCAGTCAGTCCCATTTGGAGAGTCAGACAAGCAGCCTGCGTGTGTATTGCCCCGAGATTAACACTTAGGTCGTGTTCATACTTCTTGCATTGCTTCTATCGCATCGTCGACTTACCTGTCTTCTGCTGTTTCTTGTCTCTTCGATTGTAACTCGTACTCGCGCTAGTTGAGCGCTGTGCTGCCTTCGTTTCCCTATGGCTAATAACTTGAAGGGCAATTGGGACTAACGTGATCATGGATTCCTTGGTTTTACAATCTGTCGATTAATACAATTGGGTCGTTGCAGACTTTTGTTTCTGTTTAGTGTTTTGTACCCTAGTTTACGCAGTGAGACGACTGCGGGGGCATGGGTACGTGGCATCGGATAATGTCGCCGGTTTGTTCGAATTGCAGCTTCAGACTTGGATGTGAAGCAACTCTGTGGATTATCTCCAGGGGTCGACTGTATTCGGGAAAGTAAGATTATTTGTGTTTGGCACCTATGACGAAATAAGTCTTGGATAATGCCGCAATAATTTGTCTCACGCGTGATGAGCGTGTGCCGGGAAGACAAAATATTTTTTTTTTTTCAAACGGCCTGACGGCTGACGCTCACGGTTTTTGTTTTACATGTGCCATATTTTTTCAAAAACAGATTAAAGCTGAAATTCGGTAGTCCCTCAGACTTAATATACGATGGTTTTTGAAAACTGCATTTTTTTAGTCGGTGATTCGGTGTATCTGCTGTGAAATACATTAGTGGAAAATTTTAGCAGTATAATAGCTGGTCAGTTGCTGACAGATATTGCGCGTCTGTTACGAACTACTGTCTTGTGCACTTTGTGTGCACTGTGCAGCTTGTGCCAAGCTTGTGCATTGTAAAATGCAGCAATAGAAAAAAAAACATAGGCGAGGAGCTGGGGTAATCTGTTTTCATCGTATTTCATCTATTAAAGGCAGGTGAGACTGTTTTGGTGCTTGTCAAAATGTAAGCAGGATTAGCAGTTAGCTTCTTTTTACTCCATTGGCATTTCTTTTAGAGAAATCCTTTAAAAGACATGGTATTGATTGGGCGCTACAGGGCGGCGGCGCCACCACTAGGTACTGGCCAAAAACTAAGGTTCTTAGGTTTGAAAGGCTCCAAGATTTCTTTTTGATTTGTATAATTTGCTATTAAAATAAATATTTTTTTTTTCAAAAATAAAATGCAGTTTTTCCCTTCCAATTATTAAAAATGACCAAATTACACCCATTGTGAGTTCCGCGTCTTTGATGTGGCCTAGCTTAATCCCTTAATTTGGTCAGTGTCTTGTAACTGTTTTCATTTCAGATTAGTGTGTATTGATGTCACCTGTCGGTTATACTTCCATGTTAATTTCAATTTCATAAGCGTTGACTGGTGTGTGGTGTGCGTGGGGCAGGCATTGTTTGTATTGATAATTGTCATGTGATTGTTTTGACATAATTGCGTTCCTTTCCTCTTCCTCACCTTCCCTCCTTCTCAGTCTCTCACACTCCTGCTCCAGCTCACTCTTGCTCTTTGGAGAAAAAGAGATAGATTCTCAAAACATCATGGATAGGATGCTTGAATTAACCTCTAAACTCTGTCCCAGATCCATTGGCCGACATGCTGCTGCGGCCACTGCTACACGTGCGCTGTTGCGCGCCGGCTGCGAGGCTGGCCACTGGTCTCCGCTGCGCCTCCTCTTCAGTAGCCTCCACGGAGCTGAGCGTCGACTACCTGCTCGGCGAGCGGGCCGGCATCGTGGCCATCTCTATGAACCGACCCGCCGCCAAGAACGCCATCAGCCGCGGCCTTCTGGCCGCCATGACAGAGGCTGTGAGCAGTGTGCGCTTTGACCGCACAGTGCGAGCCGTCATCATCCGCAGCCTGGTACCGGGAGCCTTCTGCGCAGGGGCGGACCTCAAAGAGCGCGCCAAAATGCGGCCGGAAGAGGTGGCGCCGTTTGTTTCCCGCGCGCGCGCTCTGATGTCGGAGCTGGAGAATCTGCCGATGCCGGTGATCGCTGCACTGGACGGCGCTGCTCTTGGGGGAGGTCTCGAGATGGCGCTCGCGTGTGACCTCCGCGTGGCGTCAAGCTCGGCGAAGCTCGGCCTCGTGGAGACCAAGCTGGCAATCATCCCTGGCGCGGGTGGCACCCAGCGCCTTCCTCGACTAGTTGGTCCAGCGCGCGCCAAGGAACTCATGTTCACGGCTGCTGTTTTGGATGGAAATCAAGCTGCGCGGATTGGTCTGGTCGATCACGCTGTACCACAAACAGACGCCGGTGACGCTGCGTATCAGAAAGCCGTTCAGATCGCCGAGAGGATCCTCCCCAACGGGCCTGTTGGTGTGCGAATGGTGAAAAAGGCGGTGAATCTGGGGATGCAGATGGATTTGGCATCGGGACTGGCTGTCGAAGAGGCGTGTTACGCGCAGGTTATACCTACCAAGGATCGTATCGAGGGCCTCACTGCGTTCAAGGAGAAGCGCGTGCCAAATTACACAGGCGAATAAGGAGTTACAGGGTTGTTTTGACTTTTGCACTTTGAAAAGAAGCAGTCTGTCAAGCTGAGAGCTGAGATCTGGTAAGTGCGAGGTTGGGAGAGGGGCGTACTTTGAGCTTGCTAACTGGTGTGTGGTGCAGTGTGAGATTTGTCACGTGACTTAGCGATGCAGTATGTGACTTGTCATGTGACGTAGCGGGTGCAGTGTGTGACCTAGCACGTGACGTAATCGGCAGCCCGTGTTCAGGTTGTGAGCGGTCCGGCGAGAAGTGAGCTTTGTTTTGAAGAGAGATTGGGTTTGAAGCTGGCGATCGCTAACTCTAGGAACAGCGCTGAGCGCATATTTGTATTCGCATTACCATATTGCCTGATTATGGCCTATTTTGTGATAGATAAAGTAACTATTTACAGATGAAGTCACGGTTCAAAATAAAATGTGTGTAACTTTACGAAACTGTATTTTTTTTTTCTCTTTGCCGATAACCTACCGAGAGCAAAGCAAAGAACCACATGTTAAATACCTACAGCAGCACATACATCAATCGCTCAAAGAGTCATTGTGTTGGTCTGTTTATTTTACCAGATCAAAGTGCACCCCAAGGCCAAGTAGCTGCATTGGAACTGATCGTCTTGATTGATTAACCGTAATATTCCCTTCCAGATTTCAACAAGCATAGATATTATCGTTGTTCCACACTGTTCATTTCGCCTTTCCAGATGCCTTCGCGAAATGGTTTCATGCGTTCTCCTCCTCACACGGTCTGAGCACCATGGTTTCCTTATCCTGCAGCGTCTCCGTCTCCGTGCACAGATCCTGTGACGTCAGAGTCAGCTGACTGTCGACCCGGGTGACCTTGACCGCCCGGGGCAGTAGGGGCGGGCTGACGGCCGCCCCCTGGCCGTGCAGTGTGACCTTGAGCGAGGTCATCTGGGCTGAGTCAATGGGCGAGTGCACGGTGGTCCGAAGCTGGGTTCCTGACGACCAGCTCGTGCCAGAACTGCGGGGAAGAGGAGGGAGGATTGTTAACGAATAATATACAAGGCCATGGTGATGCGTCACTTCATCAGGCAATACACGGTTTGTGCATGAATGTTACGTAAAGGAACAATTATGTAAAATTTGAACATGTTTTATTAAAAAGGTATAAGAGGATGATAGCGGATTATTTCAGAATTGTTATAACAATTATCTATTTATCTCACCTCCATCCTGGCAGCCGTTCTGAGGCCGTGGTATTTGTCTCGATCACAAACACCAGATTTCCCATGCCGTCCTGCTGGTCCTCAGAAAGCTGCAGCTCTACCTCCAGGTAGTGCACTGGAATTTATCAAATTGCCTCATGTCATCGTAGTTTGCAATCGTAAACAAATATCCGTCTCTAGTGACATTTGATATCTGATTAATGCGACTAATTATATCGCCTTTTGAGTTTTGATTTCATCCCGCGTCGCTGACCAATGATCCGTGACCATTCACTTACTGCAGAAGGAGCTCTTATTGCTGGTTGTCTGCAGATAATAGTTCCCGCTGAGGTTGTATTTCTCGGCGTCCATCCCCATCCGTCCGATGGTGGCTTGGTCCAGCCGCTGGCACTCTCCCGACTCGTACTCGGCGTAATCTTTGCACGGAAAACTCACGAACGGACACTCGTGCTCCGTGAGGGTGGCGATGAACAGCTCGTGAGCGCGGTCGTGGGGGCAGCCGAAAAGACCCTTGATGGCTGGCGAATGGAGAGAAGGGACAACGATGAGCATTTCAACAACGCGACCGAAAACTGCCCGACCGCGACCGAAAGCTTCCGTTGTAATCCATTTGTCGACTAAATTTTGGTACGGTTTGAGCAGATCGACTGTGATCGACCATGAAATCGACTGTGTATAGCTATGCTTTTGCCGATAAATCATCATAAAAGCACACGCATGAAAGTGACCGTTTCAATTTTCATAACCGTTTACATTCACTTACCGTCGATGTTGAGCGTCTCCAGATCGTAGATAAGAGCCCGAATATTCTCCTGGAAGTCGCCGCAGCCCGGCTGGTTTTTACCGTTGTTGGGATAAAAATCAACGTCTCCACATGACTGAAAAAAAAAATGAAGTGCGCTGCATCGGTAAATCGCAAGGCTGCGGTGGGCTGATTAAAACTAGCTTGAATCAGTCTAGGTATACAATCGTCCTCTACATCATGCGGTAGGATTCATGGTGTCTGCGAGACGTTTACACGGGATAAAATAAAACAAAAGTAAGTTTGCACCTTCTTACCGCCATAAAGCCGATACCGATATAGATAATGTCTCTTCCGTCCGTGTGAATGATGTCAACAAACTCGGCGTCAGTGGCGTCCAGATGAACTTCGGGCTGGGTCTCTTCAAAATACGGCTGGGCCGGGTCCAGTCCTGCAGTGGCGGAGCAAAAACGGGATAACAGCTTGGGACGTAATTGGGTTGGGTACTGGGTAGGTAGATAATTATAAAGCCTTTCGTTGCAAGGCAGGTTAACGTAAAAACTAAAACCGAAAGAACATGTGTGAAGCATAATTTTCTTTTAACCCCAAGTCTGAAATATGAACCAACACATCTCATATTTCTTAATTACCCCGAGACGTTTTTCCTCACCCCGCCTGCGCGGTCGGTGTCATGCCCTCGGGCGATATCGTCACGTGACCGACGGGCACGACCGACGAGTCAGCTGATGGCAGTTGCAGGGAGCGTAAGGGTCGAGACAGTGCCCCCAGGGCCTCCGGGGATGATTGGTGATAAAATATGTGTGAGTGACGGTGAACGGTGATGTGATGGGTGTTTTAGTGCTGTCAGGGTCCAGGGACTCAAGAGTGATTGGTGAACCAAAGTGGTTGACGGTGAGCGATAGCAAGTGAACGACTCGTCTTCGGATTCCAATGCAAATGTGAACGACGAACAGCAAATTTAGCCATTTGAAATGTTGGATTTTCACGTTTGCGCAACCGTGATTTATCTAGTTTCGAGTTCAATCGCTGTGTCTCCGTGGTGGCCAGAAGACCGAGACACCGTTTTGCTTTCTGAGATGTCAGATGATTGCAGACTGAAGCTCTTACTAGTTACTACGGAACCAGACGGTCGGACATCAGAAAAGGTGAGTCAAAGTCGGGAAATCATATCAATGCGCCATTTGACCTCGGTCGCACCGATGCTAGTGTGAGCAAACAATGAAGCGCGAAAGTCAACCTCATCTTGTCATCGCGTGACAGAGTCTATCTGTCTCACCTGTGATTCTGGCCAGGCCCGGAATCCGAGCGCCGGCATAACCGATGACATGACAGCCCAGGCTATGGGCCATCAGGTGGATGTTGGCGACGCTAGCGCCACCTACATCGGTCAGAGTGTGGACCAGTAGCGCGATCTGGCGGCCGACCAGTTGAGCGTTGGCTGTGGCCTGCAGATACGGGGTCCTTGCGCCAGCCTCCCAGTCGACGAGAATGACGTTGAAGTCGTACTGAAAAAGGAGAACTGCGTTGAATGGTTGATGTTTACTGCCCCTGACTGCCAGACAGTTTTTCCAACATTCCTTGAACCAGCGTATCAAAAGGTGTATTTTACTCATTACGACAAACAAACCTTATCAAATGTCTACTTATCGATCGGCACTCGGGGAATAAGGCATAACATCGGATGGAAAATATGTTTGCATAAGTTGAGATACACGGCATACTTTGTCTTTTTTATGTGATAGAACCAACAGACAAGCGAACCTCTATACTTTTTCCATCTGACATATTGGTCGCTACGGCAGCAGGTCTCGTGCGTAATAAATCTACGAAATAGTTGCCCATCCCCCTCCCGTGCAGAAAGGCGTCCGTCTGACCTGTTCTAGCAGCAGGTCCTTGACGCGGTTCATCCATCCCGATTCGCCGCTGTCGGTAAACCCGTGACAGATCACCACTGTCCGCTCCCGCTGTGCAGAAAAGTCACCCAGCTCCGTACTGTTGTAGTAAATGGCCGTCTTCTCGGGAACCGTCCTGTAGGGAGGGGGAGTAGAGGGGGGGGGGTTGCATATATAGTGAAGGTATAGGGGATTTGAGGCATATGTTTCGTCCATCTAACGACCAGCATCCCAACGACATAACCAGTCCGCATTTGAACTTATGTAGTTGACTTGAGGGCAACCGCCGGACCTAACCGGATTTGACCTCAACATGATCTAAGGTCAACACTTCCACCCTAATATCCCCGACGAAAAATGCAACACTGAACATTCGATGTTGCTAGAAAAAAAAAAGAAATGCGATGGCACCTTAGAGGCATGCAACATTTTTTTTCTGTGATCATTTTTGTTTAAGTTATTTAAAGAAAACCGAAACCGCGCTCTTTGATTTATTCACCATCCCCATAGGTCAATGTTGGACCTGACTAGCTAGTAGCATGAGCTCGCTGAATTATTACCGAGTGTAGAGGTAGAAGTTGGTCGGTATTTCCTCGGGCGGCTGGGGAAGGTTCGGGAACGGTCTTCTGACGTCACTCCACGGGTAGTCGGTGGTAAAACAGCCCACGTCATCGTAGCACACGTCAGCTGATGTGGCGATGGACGTCAGTGGTATGTGGGACACGTCAGGTGATGACAATAATTACGAGATGATTGTTTTATCTCGCAATCTTCGGCCAATATCACTTATTAGCGGCAGGCCATGAAAACCCAAGAAACGAACAAACATTAACTTACAACATAATTCAGCTAAGCCATATTGTATTGGATTCTGAACGTTTATTCTTTTAAACCACCCTGCGAGTCCATTAATGCATTAGTCCACCAAATAATCCACATTGTTTCCGTCCACCCAGCATTCATTCATTCCACCATTCCATCATTCCAGCACCATTCCACCCACCTGTGCGCACCACTCCGACCAGCAGCGCCGTCACCACCGGCACCAACATCCTCATCCTCTGTGTCCCTCTTCACCACCAACCCTCCCGACTGACCTCAGAGGCACCACTGCCGACCGGTGACCTCCCACAGACCGACCTCTGATAGACAGCAGGACCGTTCCCACGCCGGGGGTGGGCGTGACCCTGACTATATTAGGTGGGCGCAGCTGGGAGAAGATAAAACAGGTGACATGATCTAGGTGGACATGGCTTGGTCTTGTGGATGTCTTTTGAATAATCGCTTATAGGTATGTTTGAATTTACGTCTTTATTGTTACATTTCGCGTAGCCTACGTTTTGCTCGGTTTGCTACGTTTGAAAGAAAGCAAGTTACCATCGTGTTTTGACCTTCGGCGCTATTTGTATGCCAATCCATTGCGTTTTAATCATATTGTTATACATATTTTCAAAAACAGCTTTTTCATTCACAGGCCTCGCATCTCAAACGGCAAGTCCTGGTGCGGCAAGTTTTAGTTAAATCAGTCCTGGCACGGTCTGAGCACCATGGTTTCCTTATCCTGCAGCGTCTCCGTCTCCGTGCACAGATCCTGTGACGTCAGAGTCAGCTGACTGTCGACCCGGGTGACCTTGACCGCCCGGGGCAGTAGGGGCGGGCTGACGGCCGCCCCCTGGCCGTGCAGTGTGACCTTGAGCGAGGTCATCTGGGCGGGGTCAATGGGCGAGTGCACGGTGGTCCGAAGCTGGGTTCCTGACGACCAGCTCGTGCCAGAACTGTGGAAGAAAAGAAATACAGTTAAAAATAAATGTATTTTCAAATATATATTCATTTGCCAATTGAAGCACGTTACAAATTCAACTTGAAAAATATAACGGTGCGGTGATGACTACCTACAACAGATGATTAGGGCTCAATTTCAGCCGCCACGAAAAAGCTATTAGAACAAGACCGATTTATGGAAACGATGCATTAGTGCAGGACATTTTGAGTCGCGCTTTTTATCAGAAGCTTCTTTGAACAGATGCCTCACCTCCATCCTAGCAGCCGTTCTGAGGCTGTGGTGTTTGTCTCGATAACAAACACCAGATTTCCCATGCCGTCCTGCTGGTCCTCAGAAAGCTGCAGCTCTACCTCCAGGTAGTGCACTGGAAAACATTACCAATAATCTCAGATCAAATAGTTTAGACAAAGAGCAAAGATAAAAGAAGTTTTAACGATTCGGGTCTTGGATGCCTTGGGCCCTTGTGGCTTGGAACGATTTGCTTGAGTGGCAAGAGCAGTAGGTACCTAATGCAATTTATCTTCCGTGGTGAATGGTGAATTCTGCTGAGGTTGATTGATCAAGTTCTAACCGAAAAATTAATTGCTTCTGCCTTTATCGCCGTCCAAAAACAGTTTCCCTTTTTCCAGTTTCTCTCGTCACCGAGCGCGGGCTGGCGAAACACCTGACAGATAGACTAGCCCGCACGGCACGTCTGCCTTGCGGGCTAGTCTAACTAGCAGGCGTTCCACCCGTTTGTAACGGGCGTATGCTCGGGTATGAATAAACCGGGCGTGAAAGTGAGAAATAAATAATGAATCAAAGAGTGGTTGGTGTTCTGAACATTTCTTTGCATTCAACATTGAAAAGCCGTTCATATTTCAATTAGTTTTTTACCCTGATGTCCGTTACAACTCACTGCAAAATGAGGTATTGTCGCCGGTCGTCTGCAGATAATAGTTCCCGCTGAGGTTGTATTTCTCGGCGTCCATCCCCATCCGTCCAATGGTGGCTCGGTCCAGCCGCTGGCACTCTCCCGACTCGTACTCAGCGTAATCTTTGCACGGAAAACTCACGAACGGACACTCGTGCTCCGTGAGAGTGGCGATGAACAGCTCGTGAGATCTGTCGTGTGGACAGTTGAAAATGCCACCGATCTCTGCAAAACGAAAACTGTTTTAATTACATGCGTTCAAATCATTTTAATGAACTAATCGTGTTTAGCATATATTTTTATGGCATTTAGTCTGATATTAGTTGAGTTTCTTTCAGCGATTTTCTTTAATTCCATTCTGGCCCTCGGTATAGATCAACCATGATGCAAATACCATTTTGTGAACGACCGGCTTCGGTCAGCTAGACTTTGATACCACATGATAATTGTGGTACGAGTTTGACATGGTTGACCGTCGATGTTGTTTGTCTCCAGATCGTAGATCAGGGAGGCGACGTTGGCCTCAAAATCGCCGCAACCCGGCTGGCTTTTACCACCGTTGGGGTAAAAATCGACGTCTCCACAGGGCTGAAATTCAATCAAAGCGGTGATTATTTAGGTACACACAAAAAGAAACGTTCCTATCCTTCATCAACTATACCTGATCCAATGCATTTCCAATGCGCGATGCATATTGGATTTAATGTAAAAGCCAGTTATTTTCACTCTATGTATGTGTGCCTGAAATTCTATCAATACAGTATAGAATCCGCTTGATAAATCCTCGGATAATAAATCCAGCCACTTATTCTGGCCACTTGAGCTGTTTTCGGATTTCTCCATATAGAAGCACAACCGACTCCGGTTAATAAAGCCACCGCTTAATAAATCCAAAACGCCGTGTCACCAAGGTGGATTTATTGAGCGGTGCTATATAGAATACATTACTCATGTTAGCATCGTTCGCACCTTTATAACACCGTACCTACCCCCTGGAACCCGAAGCCGACATACAGTAGATCCCTTCCGTCGGTGTGTATGATGTCTACAAACTCAGCATCAGTGGAATCCAGATGAACCTCCGGCTGTGTGCCCTCGAAATACGGCTGGCCCGGGTCCAATCCTGTGGGTGAGATCGAAATGGTATGATAAGTGATAGATGCTAAGGGGTTCTGTGGGTTAGGGAATAGGGATGCTGGGTGAGTGTTAAGTTTTGCTAGTTGCCGGCTGGTCCCTAGCGTCGGAGCCCTAGGGTGAGGATCGATTTTTTTAGGGCTCCCCTTCATTTTTGAGAGCAGGTCCTTGAGACTGTTTCTTGTTGCTATAACATTGATGGGCCACTAAAAGATGGGAGGAGTTTAGAAATCATGGTTACCAGCTACCTAACTGTGATCCACGCTAGAGTATTTAGTCAGCGTACTCGTGGTGCTCTTTAGAGCTCACATTAATTAGCTATTATCCTATAGTCTACGTATATTACATTTTGTCACTATTACAAGCATACTTTTTTCAGCTCAATGCTGTCGCTATGAAGGTCGGCATCGGTTGGAAACACGCTGGGATAATGTGTTCGGGCAACAGGTGCTGAACGATAAAGATTCCGTACCTATATGTGCTAACGATTGTTTCGTAAAAAAACGGCCTTTGGGACTTGCACAGATGTACGAGTACGAGTAGGCGTGACTTTCTCCCTATATCGCAGATTATGACGTCTAGAGAATTGAAGCCCTTGCGGAGGGGGTCATGACCCTAAATGCCCCAGAAACGATATAGGTATGGTCGTGTTCCCGTTTATCGTCACGGGTCACGAGTCACGTTAGAAGCTCGTGACGTTTCAAGAGATATTTCCAGTAATCTTTTCAGGTGTCACGTTGTTAGGTTTTAAGTTTTTCTAGGAGATGACCTGCCAACTGACCTGTGATCCTGGCCAGACCGGGTATTCTGGCTCCGGCATATCCGGCCACCTGCGACCCCAGACTGTGCGACATCAGGTGGAAATCGCTCGCCGCAGCGCCACCTATATCGCATAGAGCGTGGACTAGCAGCGCCACCTGCCGTCCCACCAGCTGAGCGTTGGCAGCGGCTTGAATGTAGGGAATGCTGGAACCGACTGCCCAATCGACCAGGATGACGTTGTAATCGTACTGAAAAAGGAAGTTATATCTGCCAAGTTCCAAATTTAATTTGCATAAACAAGAATAAAGTGGCCTGCTACTCCGTTATTCGGAAAAAGAAACGCTGGACCCTATCGTGACATAAGACAAATTCTAACTCGTGAATCTAAAATCTGTCTTCCCGAGTCCGAATGTAGCGCCGTGTTTTATATTTTACCAGCACCGACAAGAATATGAGCCTGTCCCATCCCTGCCATGTTCCCTGACCTGCTGGAGCAGCAGATCTTTGATGTCTATCATCCAGTAGGCGTCTCCGCTGCCCTGAAAGCCGTGGATGACGAACGTCGTCCGCTCCCGCTGTGCGGAGAAGTCGCCGAAGGTGGTGCCGTTGTAGAAAATGGCCGTCCTTTTGGGAACGGTCCTACAGAAACGGCCGATGTTTTAAAATAATTTTTAAGCATGGTGTGTCAAAAGTGGAAATAGCCGGTGCGCCGTCTGGCAACCCGGCAACCCGCCGCCATAGGGAAATTCATGCTTTTTGTCGCTTTTTCGCTCCCTATGAGTCACTTGATCTAATTACAGCTTAACTAGGAACGAGGCGGGTCACTTGGACGTATTCGGGAGCCGAATACGGTGTTTTGGAGCCAATAGCTGGGAAACCCTACCCGCCCAATGCGAGTTTTTAAGAGTCTGCATGCCCAAATTAACGTTGAGCGAGGCCGTTTTCGGTCGGTTTTCCCCGACCTTGTGGCGAAATCGCCTTATTTATTCAACCAGGGTGGGCTAATTCGCTTAACTAGGAATGAGGCGTTGAAGAGAATTATTCAAGGAATAGAGCTGTGCAAAAATATTTTTTGTATTGTTAAAACTGTATCCGCCCTCGAACGATAAATATTGTTGACCCATCAGAAACACATCACTTGGAATGCGTTTGGACTTGGCTGGATCTAATATTAGCGAGTATCTCCTAATGCAGTTTCTTGGCTTACATAGTACGCACACAAGCATACATACTTCCTGCCCTTGGTTCTTCCTCACTTGAATGAAAATTTTGCTATAATAACTATTCCAAGCAGTCAACAGTTTTTAGTGCAGTGCCAAGTCGGAACCGTTCAGCGCCGCCAGTCTCCCAGGCGGCGCGTAACGGCTGCCGCCGGCCGCCGCGCCGCCGCTCTGGCAGAGTGTTTGACTTCATATCTCTGTTGCTAGAAAAGTTGTGGACCGATTTACTTGATTCTTGCATGAAAAGATCCGTCATTCAATTCTTAGCAGATAACGAAAATTTGACGTCAATTGCACGATCCGCTGCCCAAATTGTGGTACTGCCATCTATTGACTAGGCTGGCGAACTAAGGCCGGGCGGCTATTTCCACTTTTGACACACCATGGTGTTTTATGAGATAACTATAGTTGAGATATCTGCGCTTGCTTTAAGTCTAGTGAAATTATACAAAAAGTGTAGGCATTTCGAAACATGCACCTAGGCCTACATCATCATTTGATCATCTTTTACCATTGATCATTCATTTTATTCTTTTTTTCGTACCCTATACTTATCTTTCCAAGTTTTGGTAACAGTCTCTATTTTGGCATATCATATGTGCTCGCTATATAACTGCTAACCTGTCTCCTCACCTCGTATACAAATAAAAGTTGGTGGGTATTTCCTCGGGCGGTTGTGGAAGGTTGGGGAACGGTCTTCTGACGTCACTCCACGGGTAGTCGGTGGTAAAACAGCCCACGTCATCGTAGCACACGTCAGCTGATGTGGCGGTGGACGTCAGTGGCGTCAGTAGATGTCGTCTATATCTATGGCCTACCGCGCTAGCTGTGTTGCCCGTTTCATTCATTGAAACTTGTCTATTTTAGACACGTTGAAACTGCACTATGATGCGTTTTGAATTTGCAGGAAACAACGTCCGTCGCCGGTATAGCATCGAACTATCGGAGCATTAAAAATGCTAATATTCACACAGCTTACATGAAATATAAAGAGAATATAAAAGTCATTGCTATGATCCAATACGAGTAAACATGAAACATTTAGGTATGCGTATCTCTCTATACTGTCACTGTTATCGGCGTAGGTAGTATAGTTATTTCATCGACAGCTACTTACGTATCTGAACATTAGAGACCTCACCTGCTAGAGAGACACTGACTAAAACCACCAGCAGAGCAGCTAATGGAGGCTCCATCCTCTGCCCTTTGCTCTCACCCGCTTAGGAGAAACTACGCAATCTCAAAACCTCGGCACAGTCCACCGTCCCAGACCTACGCCCCCAGCCCCGCGCCCCCGCTGCACGATTGACAATCATGACAGATGGGCGGCTCCCACGAAAATGGCGTTCTACCTCTCATCGAAAATGGCGTGGGATGCACGATTCCCACAGAAATGTCGCATGTCGCTCACGGAAATAGCGTTGTTATTATTGGAAGGATATTTGGGAGGGAAGAGGGGGTTTGGTAAGATCAACTTTGTCGAAAATAGGGTAGATTCACAACTGATCAACACACAACTTAAGATCAGTTTAGATGTAGATCAACACAACTTTATCAACATTTTGGTTGCTGCATGCTGAGGAACTTCGTGGTTTGTTGACCGTTAGGTTTTGGGATGTTTGTGATTGCCCGTGCCCGAACTAGTTGTGCCATAACCATTCCAGCAAACAAAAACAAAAAAAGTTTGTCATATATCCATATATTTCATTCACAGCGCAGCGCTCGGCACCTTTTGATGTTAGTGCATGCAAATTGTTTCACCCGAATGGAATCGCTTCTGTAGAGAAGAAAACAAGGCATCCCACTCCCGGTGGAGGGGCGGCCGAATTAGTCGTCCGACAGTTCTAAGCTGTCTTCATTTCCCGCATTCTGAGTTTATTTCTTCTCCTTCTGTTCCTTGGTGTTCGCCTGAAAAATGATGAGCTGATTTGTCAAGTTTGTCCTGGCTGTTTGATAGCTTGACATTAATGGCTTAGATCACGATATCAAGACAACAGAATGCCTGCAATCTGCATATATCCTGCATTATCTGGTGTAATTTTTTTTTCGGAGAAGTTTTTATGAGGAATGCCTCCCCGCAGCGTCCAAGACCAACTTTCTGGATGCGCCTATCTGCATCCGATTTCGTTTTTTTTTTTTGCGTTATAAAAGCACACGCGTCACGCTACCTTATCCTTGCAGATGTTGTGGTACTTTTTCTGGCCCTCCTCGTCCTGTGACTCCTCGCTCTCACTCTCGCTCTCGCTGCTGCCGGAGCTGCTCTCGCTCTCCTGTTCTCGCTGCTGCTGCTCGCGTCGCTGCTGCTCACGCTTCCGTCGTGAGCCAACCAGGCTGATCATGGTGAAATGATCGTGAGCGGAACCTGAGAATACGTCGCGACTGTCAGCGGGCTGAGAAAGGGTTGATATTTTTTCTGCTTTTTCACTGGGATCAGTACGTGTCTACATTTGTGTAATACATATTTCTAATTCACGTCCCTTCATATATTTAGACATCCGGTCAAACGTAGCGATCATTTTCTGGTTCTATTTCTGGTCTGGACTAAAATACCGAAATAGCCGAAATACCGAATACCGAAATTGGCAGCATTATTCTTGCCTCTAAAATTGCCCTTACAAGTATTCTTATTCGTAAATATGACCCCTGCCATCTGTACCCGCGTGGATCCACAAGGATGAACAAGATGATACTTAGCGATAAATGTGATACTTAGCCACCTTCGAATCTTGCATTTCATAAGCTGACTTAATGTTAATGTACTTAAATCTTTTTAATGTGTCGTCTTCTCATCTAGAATGTAACAAAAGATGCAAGCCAACTTCATTTAAGTAATAAATTTAGAAACTTTATTTAAACACAGACATCAGTGACTCACCTTCCCTGTTTTCAGTCTCCTTTTCTCAACCAACCACTGCTTTACCCCTTCCTCCACTTCTCTCGTGCCCTGATTTTTTTCTGTTTGTCTCTGCTACCGCCCTGCCTTTCTCACGCCCACCGCCTTCTAGGCCCGTCGCCGACCCAGTGGAGGCCCTGCCGCCGTTCGGCGGACCACCGGACTCAGTATTGATGGGCCAAGACTCCGTGGTTACCCTTGGACCAAACAGCACACAAACGCGCGCGTGGTATATACGCGGGAATAGGCATACACGGATGCGATCGGAGAACTGTGGGGCGCCGCAAGACTGGGCTATATGTATGCTGGCAGAAACATTGACGCTGATTCTGACACTGACACTGATAGCGACACTAAGACACCGGTACTGACACAGATGCGTTATGAACGGTCATTGACACAGACCTGTCAGATTTGTATCAGACCTGTTGACGTCGCAGCATTATATGAACGCTCGCAAAAAACGGCACCGAAGCTAATACTGGCAATGATACGGATATTAGCTTTGAGCTGACAGCCGACGGACATAGACACATTCGGATATAGAAAAAGACGGTATATGTCAATGGACACAAAAACAATAGTGGCACACTCGTGCCAACCACGCAAACTTTACTAAAACCATTATGTGCAGCTGCCTGCCACCAATACAGACACATTTACATTGCGATAACAATGACAGAAGCAATGGCATTCGACTGACAAAGACACAAATACATTGACATTCAGCAAACACGGACACAAACACAGTGACACCGGAAGTAGACATTGACACGGAGAATGCTGCTGCAGGGCGCGCCCAGTGACCGATACACACAGCCGAGTAGCTGCCTAACTACGGTCACAACACGCCCCTTCCCCCTGACCCCCACCCTCACCCAAACTCGTGGCCACGGGGCATGTTCCGGTGACCACACAGGTCGGTGGGAAAGCGGGGGGGGGGGGAGATTGGTCGACCCCAGTCACAGTAAATAACCGGTACCGTATGGTGCCTTTGACCCCTCGACCCAACAGCGGCTGTGTTTGAGTGTTTGAGTGGGTTTACTACATGGAGTAATGGCGGTGCAGAGGTCATGTACGGAGTGGTTTGGGTTAATTGAAGGTCGTTATGTTTCTGAAAATTGGCTTTGATTGCGTGAATATGCGCACTTCGTTCATACTGCTGGATATTTTAGATCTATGCAGGATTTTGGTACGTGCTCCTGCAATTTTTAGGATTACAAGCTCGTGGCAATATGTACATAAAACATAAATTACATGACACTTTAATTTATGTTCCACCGGCTAACAGCATTCCTTCGTTATGCGTGTAAGATTGCGTGTCACGAACTTGGACAGCCATTTCCATAGCTCCTGAAACGCTGTGATTCTTTGAATTGACACCGCGTATTTAACGTTCTTTGTTCAATTAGCGTCGATGTTTTTTTTCGCTTCATTGATCCCAGTGCAATTGTTTAGGGGATCGGGACTTATCTCGATTCTGCCCATTCAACACTGGCGGATCCAGGGGGGGCCACGGGGGCCATGGCCCCCCCCAAAGGCCTAAAGTGGCCTGTTTGGCCCCCCCCCCCCAAAACGCCAGAAAAATTGCTAAGAAAATATACCTTGATGGAGGTTTTTAGCCACTTGGTGAAGTAAAGCTTTCCACAGCATAATATGGAAGCAATATAGTAGCAGTGAGGGTTAGTCAAAAGTTGCGCGAGCGGAGTCGACCTTAAAAAAAAGACTGTTGTTGGCAGTTGGCACGTGTTTATGGCGCGGCAGCTGGTAGTTGGCGGTGTTTTGCGTGGTGTGGCATCACTGGCGGATCTGGGGGGGGGGGGGCACGGGAGCCTGAGGTGCCCCTGACAGGCCCGTGGTGCCCTTGCTATAGGCCTGTGGTGCCCCTGGACCCTGGCAGGCCTGTGGTACAGTCCACAGCAGAAGTAATGTGGGGTTTCAGTCATGGGTATGTTCTGCTTCTGAAGCTTAGAAACGATTAGCCAGACTACAATGAAACTTTGAATGTAGCTTATATGTATCGTCGCCCTTGCAGCTGCAACTTTAGCTATTGACATCTTCTTTTCAATCACTTCGCATTAAACAATCGCCAGTCAAAGCCAACCGTTGAGTTTGGTAAAACCCTACATTACTTTAGCGGTGGGCTGTACCTCTGGCGGGCCTAGGGTGCCCCTGCTAGGCTGCTGATGCCCCTGGGACCTGACAGGACTGTGGTGCCCCTGACAAGCCTAAAGTGCCCCCAACAGGCCCGTGATGCCCCCGACAGGCCCAAGGTGCCCCTGCGTGATGCCGTGATGCCTGCGAGGCCGGTGGTGCCCCCTGCGAGGCCGGTGGGGCCCCTGACAGGCCCATGGTGCCCCTGCTAGACCGGTGGTGCCCCTAGCAGGCCTGTGGTGCCCCTGCTAGGCCGCTGGTGCCCCTGGGCCCTGACAGGACTGTGGTGCCCCTGACAGGCCCAAGGTGCCCCTGCAAGGCCGGTGGTGCCCCTGTAAGGCCTGTGGTACCCCTGCTAGGCCTCTGGTGTCCCTGACAGGCCCATGGTGCCCCTGCGAGGCCGGCGGCGCCCCTGGCAGGTCTCTGGTGTCCCTGACAGACCTGGGGTGCCCCTGACAAGCCTGTGGGGCCCCTCACAGGCCCGTGGTGCCCTTGCTAGGCCTGTGGTGCCCCTGGCGGGCTGGTGGTGCCCCTACTAGGCCGGTGGTGCCCCTGACAGGCCTGTGGTGCCCCCGGGAACCAAGGGGGTCATGACCCATGTGGCCCCCCTTGGATCTGCCACTGATGCATAATATATTGATTTGTAAAGGCGTTATGGCTTATGCAATATGCAATTGCAGGCACTTGGTATCCCTCACTTATCCCTCATTGGGGCTCTGGCGGGCTCCTGAGGGCCCACGTCTATCTCCGGGAGCCCATATAGACAGGCTCCTTTGGGTCCTTTCAGTACACTATAGCATAAGAGGTCTCCATGCGAGTCCTATACATACATCTGAGGGCGTACCCTGATGTCTGAGGTACCCAACTGCAGCTCCAATGGTCTCTTCTTACACTGGCGGATCCAGGGAGGGGGCATTTAGGGTCATGACCCCTTCCCAGAGGCCTAAAGTGGCCCGTTTTCCCCCTCCCCCAAACGATAATGAAACATAGTTCAATCAGGGCGTGGCCCAGGAGCCGAGTTAGACAGGGCTGTTTTACCACCTCCCGGCCCGCAAAGGGACCCAAGCACTGACTCGAAGCGGGTTAAAGAGACCCTCCCACCTTCAAAAAAGTTAATGAATTGGCATGAAAGTGATGTCGCTAGGTTCAGAAAGGGCGAAAACGAATATCTGGGGCATTCCAC